AATCACATGACAGTAAGATATTATGCAACTGAAGTCACATTATGGAGATGGCAGTACTGAGGTTTATGCAACTCAGTTCGCCATGAAGGATGGTAACTCATTGCTGTAAACATTACTTTCAGCAATACTAAATGGTATAAAGATGACCAGTTTAACTCGGTGGTAAGCCTGAGAAAGTTGCCCAAGCGATAAAATTTCTGACATATTTCGGAGGTGGCTGGTTCGAATCTCACCTTGGACACTGACTGTCTCAACACAGAATTTTCGTGATTTTTTCTGAGTCACTGCAGGCATATAGCGAGATATATCGAGATAGTCTTTTAAGCCACGACCACTACCACAGAAGTAAAAAAATATTTCGTCTGCCTTGTGTTAGGGACCTGGGTACCGGGTTAGAATTTTGCCTTGGGTTTTCGCGTCAGAGATTCTCTGGGTTTTTGTGAAACTCTTCAAGTGAATGACATGATAACTTTCTCCTAACAGAACCAGAAATTTCAGTACAGCTAATACCAAAGTAAGCCACTCGCCCTCCTTCTGAGCCAGTTCTACCCCAATCCGATCCCCACAATTTTCACCCTTAAGATCCATTTTAAAACCTTTTTCTCGACCTTTAAGGTGGCCGCTTTCCAAGAAGTTTCTCCACCAACATTTTGTGTGCATTTCTTTTCTCCTTTCCTCTCCCTCCAGTGCATTACAAAACCCGAGGGCATCAGACGAATTCATTGGAACGGCATTGAAATAGGCCAAGACCCTCGTTTGTTCATTACACAACACTGTATCAACTAAAATATAAAGTTGTCCTTGTGCTTAACTGATAATCACTACGCCATGAAGGCACATGGGGAGTGGATGTATACATATTTCTTTTTACCCCGGCGCTAGATTGAGGTGAGTGGTCGTCTTCATGCCCCTGCCATTTTACCCCCCACGGAGAAACAGCCCCCCCCCTCCCAGTACCCTTTGGATAGGAGGCTGACACTGTATCAACTACTTTTATTGAGTATCGCTGCATGAAAAATACCATGAGTATTGTGAGTTCCAAGTCTGGAAATGTGTTGAAACAAATAATTGCGGTGATCAGTTATGAAGGCACCGAATTTACTGTTTATTTGCGAGATCTGAGGGAGGAACTGCCCGTGGCCTATTTAAGTGACTACCCCACTCATTAGCTAGCAGACAGTGAGGAAATCCACAAAAATGATTTGTTCGGGATAAGCAGTGTTGCGGTCTACGTTTGAACTCTCACGAAATTTAAACACTGCCCTCAAGATGTGTGTATTCAGTTACATTTTCTTGCTGACTGGGAGGGATTTACAGGTAAAATTACATGTACAAATGGAATTCGATATATATGAATCATTTTTCTACGACCGTCAGCAAGAAACATATTACTCTGGCTCTACGAATAAAGCACTGACACATAGTGCATTGTTTGAATTACTTAAACATGACGTCACTAGAACATGTGTCGAACACAAGAAGAAATGAAGAAAGTACAGCTGCTGTGAAATCATCTGGAGGTTCGTCATTTATTACTACATTCAATATCGCTGTTAGACAATCTGAAAAGAATATGGCTCCTTCTGTAGTCTATCCAAAAGCGTCATTTTTATAAAGACCTTATATCGCCCCTTTACCCTTAAGAGTCCAGTCCGGCTCTGGGACCCACCCAGCCTCTGATCCCATGGGTACCGTGGGCTCTATCACCGGGGGTAAACCGGCCGGAGCGTAAATTTGACCACTCACGTCCATCTAGTGCCGAAGTTAAGAATGATGGAGCTATACCTCCACTTCCCCATATGTCTTCATGGCATGATGCTTAATTAAGCACATGGACAATTTTACTTTTTTACATCACTGGATTTTTCAATTGACCTAATCCTTCCAGCCGCACTATGGCCCTGAGGTCGACTCAGCCTCTTAACAGAAATGAGTACCAGGAATCTTCATGGGGGGTAAAGCGCTGCCAGCGGGCGCGTAAGGCTAACATCATCACCGTAATCAGTGAGCCGATTTTCTAGAAAATGTGGGAGCCTCGACGTCCTGTTACAGGGATATTTTTACCTTTTCTTTTCTTTTACAGTATTACTCCTTTTCTGACATCTGTATACCGAAGCGTTTCCTTCTGCAAGCCGAGTTCGGAAACGTAGCGTAACGAATTGGGCGGTGTTTATGTAATTAAACAGTTTTATTGTCTCGAAGGTCGTAAGACTTAACGGAAAACATGTTTCGAACGTAAGATGTTTGTTGTAGTCTCTCTGCTACTTTTGTTCGAAACATTTTTTGCTCAGCTAACTATTTAGCGAATTTCTCTTGAAATGCAAACAGAAACTCACTTAAGTTTTCTTCAAGTAAAATATCCATTATTGTTGTCCTATTTTAACCAAAGTGTGAAATGTCAACAGGTTTTTTTGTAAAATTATCCCAGTACTAAATTACATGAAAATTCGTTCAGCCGATCTTGAGCCGTATGCGGACAAAATGACAGATACATAAGGTTGAGCGCATTTTTGCGACTACTCAATGCGAACGTCCTAACATACAAATCAGCCGTTAAAATGTAAATACGGCTCTCTCTTGCTTGGCCAGAGAATCTGCAATGAAATGTAAGCCTATAGCCTACAGCCTTATTCAGCCTAGTAGCTGTAAACAGTTACAGATAGGAAAAAATACATAAAACGTAGGTGCTAACATTATTGATAACTTACAAACAAAAAAAACTCCGTGGCCCGTAGTTCGCAAGCGAACTATACCGACCGAGCGTCCGCCGCTTGTCGGCGAAGTTAGTGCCAACTTTAACGGATAGAGAGTGTGGCGTGGTCAGCGCAACGAATCCCCACAGCCGTTAATTTCGGTTTTCTAGACCGGAGTCGCTATTTCCTTGAAATAGCTCCTCAATTATCCTCACGAGGCTGAGTGAACCCTTTCCAGACCCACTACTATTCAGAGAATCCGGTAGCGCCGGGAATCGAACCCGGGACCTCTGTATCTGTAGCCAGGAACTCTGACCACTAGACAACAGAGGCGGTCCATTGATAACTTATAATCAGCATAATTTTAGGTTAATAAATAATTGAATTATAGTAATTTAGCGCTAATATTGATATATGAAACCCGTTACATTCACTAGTGTCCTGGAAATTTTCCACACGCCTACTCTGTACGGAAAACCTGCTGGGGCCGGCTAGAGTTTCCTTCACGTGGATCTTGTTTCTGTGACCTCTGACTACTTTTAAAATAGTTATTTCCATTTTTGATAATATTATCGCTGGAAGGGCGTGTGCAGAATGCCCCGCAACTACGTCCTCTAGGGATCCTTCTAAGTGGAAAAGCTGAAACCACGGGAACAGACTGCTGCAGTCTGTGAAGAAAATGAAAATAAGCATTCTGTTGCGTTTATAAATTCTTCGTTATTTATATTTAATATCAGATTGCATTATTATTTTTATAAGTAGCAGCAGTAGTAGTAATAGCAGCAGCAGCAGTAGTAGTAGTAGTAGTAGTAAGTTTAGACTCGAAAGCGCCACCCTGATTATCCACGCTCAGTTGAAATCCGCACTCACTCTGCAATGGCTGTCTGAGAAAATGGTGTAGTCTAAACTTACTGCTGCTGCTACTACTACTAGGCCTACTACTACTATTACTAATACTGCAATACTGCTACAACTACTACCACCGCCACTGATAATAATAATGGTAATAAATATAACATAACCGAAAATGACGTGAAGAAACGTGTCAGCAAATTCCATTCCTTCATTATAAACCGCCACTCTTAACGAGAACATTAACGGACGTGAAGAAACGTGTCAGCACAATTCCATTCCTTCATTATAAATCGCCACTCAACGAGAACATTAACGGACGTGAAGAAATGGGCCAGCATAGATCCATTCCTTCATTATAAATCGCCACTCTCACCGAGAACATTAACGGACGTGAAGAAACATGTCAGCATAATTTCATTTCTCCATTATAAATCGACACTCTCAACGAGAACATTAACAGTCGTGAAGAAATGGGCCAGCACAACTCCATTCCTTCATTATAAATCGCCACTCTCAACGAGAACATTAACGGACGTGAAGAAATGGGCCAGCACAACTCCATTCCTTCATTATAAATCTCCACTCTAACGAGAACATTAACGGACGTGAAGAAACGTGTCAGCATAGTTCCATTCCTTCATTATAAACCGCCACTTTTAACGAGCGCAATAACGGACGTGAAGAGATGGGCCAGCATAGTTCAATTCCTTCATCATAAATCTCCACTCTCAACGAGAACATTAACGGACGTGAAGAAATGGGCCAGCACAACTCCATTCCTTCATTATAAATCTCCGCTCTCAACGAGAACATTAACGGACGTGAAGAAATGGGCCAGTACAACTCCATTCCCTTTCTTTCATGTAATTTATAGCGGCAGTCTTGATGGTGCAACTTCTTGTTGTGCTCGTAAACATGGTGTCCTACGTTTTCACTTGTTTATGTATGTTACTTTACGACGTGTTTCGACCATATAAAGTCATCGTCAGGCAGAAACTTTTACGTAATTGCTTCGCTGCATTACATTTCCTAATCATTGATCTAAACTTAGTTAATACTAGTTCCAGTTATTGTTGAGTTTTGTTGAAATTAGTCAATATTCCAAAAGCAGTAAAGTTATCAATATCTTTGAAACAATCTTCATGCAGGTCACATTAATTTGAAAGAGAATTTGAGGAAATTTTGTAGATGTATTCAGAATATCAGGTATCGCGATAAAAGCAAAATTAAGGGGCTGAGTATGTAACCATGAAAATTAAAATTTTAGCGTCGAGGAGAAAAAAATTACATGAACTTTATGTGCAACTGACAGAAATTTCTTGATAAATAAAATTGATCATGCGAAGCGTTATTTAACGCAAGTAGTCACAGTAATATAAATGAGTCTGCCTGAATAAAACATTGAAATTAACAGCTACTAATTTCTAAATATGAAATAAGACCATATCTTACCTTGTCCCGCCATGTGTAGAAATGCAGGCTTCATAATGTTGTTAATGTGTCACTGGCTTTGGTATCCAGATATCCGTATAATTCATAACCACCACACAAACACCTCAGTGATTGCACTGTCAACACCTGACTGAATGCATCCCAGATACCGCCCGCCGGCACTGGAAAGCACGCGAGACCCCCTCCACATTTCACTTGCGCTAGGTTGGTACTAGGATAAAAAAGAAATGACTTCCAGTTCAACAATAACCTCTGTGCCACATCCCATACGTTGTAATGATTAGTGAATGAAACAACGCCTAATGCTTTTGTCAGTTGGCGGTTAAACAACAAATAACATTTGAACATTCAATACTTAACACACGAGGTACGTTATGTAAGAAAGAATGTTTCCTCCTTTCTCGAGAACAAGCAGATTCTATAGCAAAAGCGAAATGTCGTCTGCCTCTCTTACGTAAGAAGTTAAAGACTTGCATAATGACGCTTACCGCCAGTCACTCCATTATTCACGGAAACTGCAAAGGTATGTGTACACTTCAGCGCAACCTGCTTATCATCTTATTCTTATGTTTATTAATTGCTTTTGTAACAAGACTGCTGTAGAACATTTATTGCAGTACTGGAAAGGTTAGAGAGGCGGGAGAGCGCAGTCGGTATAGCGACTGGCTACGGGCTGGACGGTCGGATTTCGAGTCCTGGTGGGGGCAAATATTTTTTTTTCTATACATCGTCCAGACCGGTTCTGGGGCCCACCCAGCCTCCTATCCAGTGGGTACCTGGGGCTATTTCCCCCGGGATAAAGAGGCCGGGGCGTGAAGCTGACGACTCACTTCCAACTAGTGCCGAGGTGAAGAATATGTGGATTTATACATCCATTCCCTATACGTCTCCATGGTTTGGTGCTTAATTAGTTCAGCGCTGGGACTACTTTACCTTTACATTCCACCGATGTTAACTGGAGCTGTAATGCTGTTTATCTATATTCAGGCGATGCTTTGCTTTACTCGGTATATGGTCTATCCTGGCCGCTTTTCGTGTTTTTCCTCATTTTCTCCAAACTAACGCTGGCATACTACCTTGAAATATTTATTCTTTGTTTGAAAGGTCGCGCCATAGCTCAAGCGGTTAGTCGCTGGCTTCCCATCGCGGCTTCCCGGGTTCGATCCCGGGTCTGGTCAAGTGGGATTTGTGGTGGACAAAGTGGCGCTGGGGCAGGTTTTCTCCGAGTACTTCGGTTTCCCCTGCCAATCTTCATTCCACCAATTGCTCCACAATCACCCTCACCTATCATCTGGGGCTGGTACAATAGGCCAGAAGTGGCC